ATCCTGTCTGATTTTATTTTTAGAGATGACAAGAATTAATTTGGTAAAAATTGAAAACTTTGCATTTAAAATGAAATCATCGTCTAAATTAAAACAAAAAATCTAAATTCTCTTTCCAAGTTAATTTAAATTTTCTGTTTCCATTTCGTTTTCTGTAGCAGTTTGGATTAATACCTCCTATTTCTGAAAGCCTTTCTGTAGGAAAAAGTAATATCAAGTTATAGAATTGTTTTTGCCTCAACCATCCCATTTTAGTTTCTGCAGTTGGTTGCTAGGCCATCTGCTGTAGAAACTGGAGCTTTGATACTTTTAGTGCTGCCCCTCCTCTGGAAGGAGAGGAAGAGTGGGATTGAAGAGACATTGCCAAAGCCCTGGGACTCTTGAAGTTGCAGCTTTTTCAGATGCAGATTGTTTTTCTTCTGGCTAGCCTGTTGATGTTGGCAAACAAATATTTTTCTGATGGTAGATTTTCTACCAGTTGGTTTACTCACAAGTAATGTGGCAATTGGCAGAAATTCACTTGAAATTATCAAATGTTAAGGCTATTTCTATTTATTTTAGGGTTTTAAATTATTTTTCAATATTTTCAAAACTTGATTTATTTAAACAGCAATTATTTTTGTTTTTTTGAAGTATTTACAAAAATAAAGTAGAATAGTGGCTTTAATATCTAATGTTGATAAGAATTATCAGGTGATTAAAGTTTTCTGTAGACATAGTAAAAATTAGTATATACACTGATCTTTCTAGTGCTTAGAGTTGTGATATTTTTCAGACATATAAGGGGGTGATGAAAAATTCTTGACCCAATTCACTTTTCAAAATCAATATTTCAATGACAAAACATTGAAATTTTTGTATGGGTTAAAGAAACCTGAGAAATTACAGAGGGGGAATATATAGAATAACATGTATATATCATAGGTTTAAGAAATTTTGCTTGGTTGCCTGAAAACTTTTCAGTACCTCCTTTCACCAAATAGTTTATTTCAGCAGAAATATGTTTGAATTGAGTTGTGATAAAAAGATAAAAATACCAAAATAATTGGTTAACACTCCAATATATCTATGAAGTTGGAAAACCTATTGACTAAGACATATCAATAACAACCATGTTGAAGAGACAAGTACAGACAGTTAATGGAACAATTGATTTATCTCGGAACTCCAGCAGTTTTGCTGTTGGTTTTATTCATTTGTTAATTTTACATTTACCTTTGCTCTTCTTTATAAAGTAGAAGGAAGTTCCAATGGATAATGAAGATGAATGTAATTCCTGGCAGTTTATTTTTTTAAATTGGTGTCTTTATTTAAAGCTTGTTTTGCTCTCAAAGATAAAAACTCTGAATAGAAAATTATTAAACTCTACAAGTTTAGCTTTGTCTAGTACAGCACCACAATGGGAGAGATTACAGTAATGGTTGAACTTGCTATTCTAGGAGAAAAGGTAAAAAAAATAAATTTACTCTGACTAATTTTTAGTGCAAAATATAAAAAGAATAATTTTACAATATCTAATTTTTGCACAAAAAAAATTTAATTTTTTTCTGGGAAAAACAAGAGAAGAGAGAATGTCCACTTTCTTATCCCAAATAAGAAAAAAGACAAGCAGTAACAAAGACTTGAAACTACTTCCTGAAATTTGAAAAGCATGATCTGTTATTAAACCTATACAAATCTATATAATAAAGTACAAACTTTACAAAAAAAGGCTTGCACAAAAATTTCCTTCCATGTGCCTTATTATGAACAAGGCTAAATAACATTACAAAATTATAGTAATAAATAGCTGTAAAAAAAATTCACAATACAATTTTTTTTCAAATCAAGAAAGAAAATATTTTGCAAAGGGGAAACAAAAACTATTTGAAAAAAGAATAAATAAATAAAAGGATGCACCCACTTAATAGATAAGTAAAAAACACATACTTTTTTGATGAGAATCCTAAGAAAGTTTAAATATCATTTGCAATTTCTTTGTTTTTAAAATTTCCTTTTTGTGGTTGGCCTAAGGGTGCTCTTTGTCCTTTTTCATCAGTATAGTTTTAAGAATGCTGAGACTTTTCTTCCCTTTGCTCTGATGGTGAGTTTCTTACAATGAAGCCTTTGTCTCATTCCCATCCAAATTTGTATATTCACTGCCAGCAGGTTTCTTCACTTCTAACCACTTTTACACACAAAATGAAAAGTTTTACTATGTCGCCTGGCTTTCCTTTAATATACTTCTCCCAAAAGTAAGTGTATAAGACAAATTCAGACATTTATTTATTCACATTTTCTAATTAATTATTATTTTTAATTATTTTATACTACTAACTAATGAAAATGTTTTATAAACACTACCTCACTAACCATCATACTACAGTAGGTACTTTCAACATTGCTGAGAAGAGATACACAGATTTATTAACATTATATTACACATGGAAATTTATGGTAATTTATTGACCAAGTTTAATCTGCTGTGGGGCACTTCATGCAGACTAACTCACTACAATAGTAATAGTTTATGAGACTAGTTTACTAGCTACTCTTTATGGTAAAGCATCTTAGTGATGATGTATTATATATAGATGATAACAGTCATATGTTTTTTTAATAGACTCTTAAAAGCTGACACAAAATCTTATGTTTTATATGCATGTGGTAAAAACTGAGCTTGAATGTAGCAGAACAACTGACAACAATGATGAGCATCAGAACAGACAGTGAGTAGGCTGTGCATGGCAACTGCAATAATAAAAAAAAAAGAAGTTCTCCTTTAATCTGAAGCATATATTTGGATATTGATAGCATTCTTTAGTATAAAAGAGAAGTAGTAATTTTTTTACCTACAATGAAAGTAAATCAAATCTTACAGTTATAGATACAAGGCTTGTAGCTTATAGCACAGTTGTTGATTTTTTAATTTTTTTTTTCAACAGCTATTTTGGCACCCTAAAAGTATAACACATATAGAGTTTGACCACAAACTGATTCCCGAATTTGAGAGCTTGGCAACTTGCTAATCAACAACTGGATATATTAACAAAGCAATAAATTGTGTGTAATCTGTATTAAGTAAGTTCTGTTACATTTGATGGGCAGAGCATTTGCTGTTTTTCAACAGCTAAATGAAAAGGACAAATCTAATATTGGGCAGATGAAAAATACTCTGCAAATTTCAAAAAAGACTTGTTCATGGATTATGAACAGTTTGTAACATGTAATTTGCAACTGACTGAGTCTGTAGATATATAGCTTGCAGAATTATGGTAATTTGCAGTACAATTTGGAGAGATATCCAAAAATAGTTCCTTTGCACCTCGTCCAAGATGGATTTGATGACAGCGAACCAACTACTATCCCAGGTGATATTGAAAGATGAAACAGTACCTGGAAAACTAGTTTGTGGCAGCTGCTCAACCTGCACTCATTAAAGCTGAAACAATCTCTATCAGCAATCAGTGTGTCAACATCACCTGCTACAGATGCTCCAGTTCCACTTTACAAAAGAATGCTGGAACCAACATGACTGTTACCCATGAGCAGCACACAAGGAAAGGTAATGCTTCTGATATAGTAAAGCAGGTTACAGAGTGGCAGGGAAAAAAAACATAGTGAGATGTCAACACTAGTCTACTCCCTAACAAGACATGAATGAGATGCTATCTGTATTTGAAGTATGTGTCAATGGAATCAAGAACATAGTCTTGGTGGGCACTAGTTGTCACTAATGAGCAAATCAGTTCATTGCTTTTGGGTAAGGAAATGTTAGATGTACTGTCAATAGAAAAACTATTAATGCCTAGGGGTTGTGGATGTTAAACTTGTAGGCAACATGAATCCCATTGTTGTTTAAATTTTAATCATGAATTTGTTGCATTTCACCTTCTGCCTGGACTCAATGCCATTAAAGAACTGGACGGAGTTCCAATAACCCAATCTGACAATGTACATTTTCCGAAGGATAACGTAACTATGCATAGCCATTAAGATCAATTTGATCAAAATAAGATCTGGATTGTATTGTGAAAGGGTGATAGTTGAAATCCAGAGAGATTGTAAAACAGAATGATAGCATATCCCATATTAAAGCAAGTTAGGCATGCATTTACAGCCAATGTGGATATTTGTGGGCAAAAGATGAGGGACTGGTCACAGCAATGTTGCAATAATTAATTTGAGGCGAGCTTAGCTACACATGCCATTAACAGGATTAACAGCTTGCGTTCATTAATGGCTACCATACTATATGAAGGACCTTTGTCCTGTTTTTGGGACAGGTGCAATGATGAGTGAATGCAATTACACATCATCAGAAAGTCAGAGGTTGAATGATGAAGCTTGAACCAAACCTTACAAGTAGATAACTTAAGTGCAACTTTTGATTCTTCAAAAGATGATTCATTTGAAGAAGAGGTAGAGATCACTCCCTTGAGGAGCACCAGGTGGAAAAGACCAGCCACATGTTTATGAATATGAGATCAGTAGTGGGATGTGGTTGAAATAGTGAGTGCAAATGTTGCAGGACTACAGAAAATAATAAACTTACTGGTCAGCATCAAAAGAGACAAATTAGACTGTTCCTGATTTGGCAGTTGTAATAGAAACAATTTATCTAAGGTGTATGATAGAATGCTGATCTGAGGAAAAGCAGTGATTTTTTTTTCACCTATGATGTATCAAATTCAGCAGCAAAAGGGAATCAAGTCATGTGGTTATAAATACAAGGCTTGTGGTCAAAAGAACAACTGTTAGTATTTTTCTCCCTCTTCAACAACAATGCAAAGCCTGTTCTAGAAAGTATTGTACTGAAAGGAGTATGTATACTAAAAGAAATTAGACTAAAATCATTGTACACAATATCTTTATAGATGATAAAAAAACATGTTTGTTAAGCTTATCAAATCTTAAATAACTCAAATTTAAAATAACCTATACTTCTATGTTTGTCATAGGTTACCAAAAGATTAATTTATATCATTGACCTGCTATAATTGTTGATCTTTTATTTTTAGGTTTTTGGAACAAAGGAAACAGGGCTTTTGGCTTGTTGAGGTGAGGCTTTACCAAATTACCTTTGATATTTACATGTTCACTTATGTAGTTTAACTAGTTCTTTTTGTAAAATGTATTAAAGCAAAAATTACTTAAATTATCTATATGATAGCCCTATTCTGTTAATAATTCTGGCCTTAATTCTTGGCCACCTTTTCTTCCATGATTTTCAATGTACAACTTACAGAAGTACATCTTAGAAACAATGCAGAATTTGGTGGTTAAAACATGAAATTCTTCAAGTGACTATGGTGAGTTTCATGCATTTGTGGCCATATCTGTGTTTCTTGCACATTGACCAAAACTTATCAAGTGTAAGCTATTATAAATTCAAATTCTCCTGTGAAAGGAGCCGGGAGTGCAAAACATATCACCTAGAGTATTTTTATGCATACTTTTGATGTTAATATTTTGAGTAAGTTTTATAGTATAAATAATAAATGGTAAATATTAAAGATAAGTATTAAATGATAACTTTTTAATTGATACAGTATTTGCTATATATGTTCACACACTAAATGTAATATTCACTTGCATCTTATACATTCTGGCAATCTGTGGCCAATGGCCAGACACCTTTTTTAATCTGTACTAGATTATGAGGAAGTATTTGAATTTTTATACAATTGCTAGACTAATTCACCATGTAGCTACAGATGGTGTTGTGTGATATGCAATCACTTAATTTGGAAAAAATATTAATATTAAAATGATGGAAATGTAGGCCAATACCCACCAATTTATAGAACCTTCTTAAAGATGACAGGTGGATGATTTGACAATACGTTTGTGTAACATGAGTTGTTACCTGACTCTCTTGATTAACTCAATTATCAAAGTTAAGTGTAACATCTGAAAACTTCAACACATTCAAATTAGTTTCAATTTGGATGCAGAAGTCTGAAAAACATTTTTTTTCTACTATTACATCACTTGAGGGCTATCAGTCTGTTTAAGCAGTGTCAAGACTGGTCAGTATTTAGATGGGTGGGTGCTTGGATACTGTAAGCAAACTCCTACAATCCAAAATTTGTTTTGGTCTTAAATAACCCACAAAGGGTTGATAAGCTGTAAAAACAAATGAAACCATTTGTCTTCTCTATACATTCTAATATCCTCCATATCACTGGGAGCCTCTTTATAAAATTTTATTACCTTTTCATTTAATAACTTGACCCAAGTTTATTATTTGGGTCCATTTTGTAAATTTTTCTTTGTCAGCTTGTATGAATTGACTTTATTCAAATCATTTAACTTTCACCTAAAACTTATTCCTCACACACCTGAACTCCAACAAATTTACCATATTGATCATCAGATCTAATTAGGTTGTCCAGTTGTGTGAGGACATTTCTTAACTATACTTCTTGTCTGTTACAACAGCATTGTTGAGGAAATAGTAAGCCTTTAAAGAATTTAGGTAAGTGTAACCAACCCACTTCACAAAATCTAAGCAAATGGCCAAACATCAGAATTTTGTGGAAAAAGGAAGGTCTTTGTTTGGGCCGATAATTTTTCAGCATTTATATATGTTTAATAACTATAGTTAATGATATCATGATAAATATATTCATGAATATTATATAATATGCTTAAAAACTATTTTTTTAAAATCTTAATTCTTATGATATAGAATTGATGTATTTAAAAAGTTGCACCTAATTTGTTATAAATAAAGGAACTAAAAATGTGAAAATCTTTTTGGTTGAAAACAACTCTCAAATTATTTTTATGGATGTTAAATATACATTGAACATACAAGCTGAGAAAAACTGCCCTTTATTTTTTTAAGACAAAAATAAGAGTTATCTTCCCTGGTTCAAATTCATTTCATTTTAGTATGGACTTTTATGTCTTTTGCCACTAGTTCATTATCTGATAAAATATTTTTTTTTTTGCTTTTCAGCTGTATCTATTACAGAAGACAAAAATTTGAATTGTTTTCATTTGTCATGTTTTTCTCTTTTGCATTTCAGTTCTATGCACCATGGTGTGGTCACTGCCAAAGACTTGAACCGATTTACAATCAGGTGTATATGCAACTGCGTCACACAGACATCATTGTAGCCAAGGTGGATTGCACTAAACACTCTTCAGTGGCAAATGCATTCAATGTGAAAGGTTTTCCTACAATCAAATTGTGAGTGTTTCTCTTGCAAAACCTGACCAAATCCTGTGTCACTTATGGTGAGATTTTACCATATATGTCTGTCAAAATGGTAATGTAGCTTGTATGTAATAGGATTCGGTATTGTACTGGCTTTTCAGATTTTCATACAATTTGGTTTTTGCATGTATAATCAGGTTAGGGTTGGTTGATCAGAGGATCAAAGTGTTGGAATGTTGTAAACTCCAATAAAACTAAAGTTGATTTTGTAAAGTAAAAATGTAATGTGTTTATTGTCCAAAAGACCAAAAATCTATCATGAGTAAAAGTTGGGTTAGATAAACAGATGTGTTTTTAAGTTTTTTTTAAATGACCAAATAGAGTTTAAGAAAAATATTCATAGTTGTAGAAAGTTTCAAACCCAGGATATGTCATGGCTGAAGATGCACACACATACACACACATCATTTGTTTTACAACAACTTTCTCGGATTCATTAAATTTGTTGTACTTGCTCCACTTTACTAAAATGTATGTTTCATATTTTAGTAAGAGACAGTGTTATATCATTGCAAGATTTAGGGATCAGCCATAATAGATAAATTGTCTTTTGTATGTACATATACTTCTGTATGAGGTATGAGCACAAAAATTGAAAAAGAATATAACACATCTTATTTTTGCTTTTTATCAGAATTTTCTAGGTTCAATACTTTCTGGTCACTAAAATTTTGTATTTTGGCTATTTAGTAAGAGTTGACTATAAATAAAACAATATGGCTGAAGATTTGGAGTATGGAGGTGGTACTATAACAGTAGATTTATAGCTTATGTATGCTTTTGTGTCTCCAAATTGATTAAACCATTGTGAATGAAAGACATGCTCTAGAAATATGAGATTAAAATTCACATCTTTCTTCCTACTTCAAGTTACTTATTTCAATGGTCAAAGTGTATTAAACTGGGAAAATAAGCAGCAGCACTAGAATTACTTAATTTTGGAATTCAAAGACTTAATACTGAATTTAAAAGCATAATGGCTTTATTAAAATTTATCTTTTTTTTTAAAAAAAGAAAGAGTAAAAAATCAATTTTAAAATAAGATATATTAATTTTAATATTTATTTAAATTGTTTAGCTTTCAATTTTGTGTGATGTTTTTAACTTGATTTTGAACAATTGTGGAAAAATGTTATGCATTAAAATAAAAACCTTGAATAAAAATTATAACAACACAACTCAATAAAACCTATGAAAATTTGTAAAATTACTAGAATTTAACATATTTCAAAATGAGCAGAATTTCTGTCAAGAAATTGCTCAGTGACAATAGTTAATAAAAGTTCAGTTGATTTATTTTTCAACTGACTTCAAAGTTTTGTGTACACAATGCTCATCGGGGTCACATAAATCTATTATAGATTTTCTGATAATTTTACAAATTAAATTTTCAAGAAGGTCTTTTCATGCCTCTTATAAACTGCTAAAAAAATGTTTGTCTTCAATGAAATAATTAACTAAAAGTTGGAAATGCACATTTTAATACATTAATGCATTTAATTCAAACATATCACACACAGAATTTTTAGATATTTCCAGACAAAACAGATGCTTTTTTTCTAAAAAATTCTTTTTGCAAGTATATTAATTTTGTGTTTAGTGCTTTTTAAGATTTGTAAGAAAACAAATATCTTAAAAAATATTTTATTTCATTAACTCCTTTGTTTTTTATTTATTGTGGAATTGCAAATTTGGAAAGTTATTGAACATTATAAAAATGTCCAATCTAAAGTCCTTTCTTTTGAAAATCACACTTGTCTCTGCTTTATGATTTGAAAAACAAAAAAGCAGATTATTATCTTAGAGGAAAACATGCATTCAGTTGATATATATATGTCATTTGTGTTATATTGTAGAATAATGTTTGATAAGTTAGTTTACTAGGGAGTTTGACTTTTTTTGAGTATGTTACATTTATTTTGGCATATGCTACAATTAAATTTAGTAGATATCATGCATGTATCATGAAAAAATATTGATATTTGATCTTGATTCAATGTATGATTTCATGAAGTTGTTTGCTTTTTCTATTTATTTTTCCAAATGAAATTGTAAAAATAAGTGGCATATTTTTGAAAATCTGTAATCAATTTTTTTCTTTTCAATTCAGCTAACTTGCATAAAGTATGAACACTTTATGCAAATTAGCTGATAGCTGTGGCAGTATTTAAGACAAATTAGAAATAAGTTTTGTCATATGAATAAAATTAATTGCAAAGTTTAATATTCTTTTGTTCTTAACTTTATGTACAATTTCTTTTCTTTTCTTTTTTTCTGTCCTAGTATTAAAGGAGAAGATGCATACATCCATCGTGGGGACAGAACAAAAGAAGACATCATCAAATTCGCCCTCAGAGCTAAAGAGTAAGTATCACTCATAAAATTGGATGACATTTTATTTCATAAATCCTCATTGTATAATTAAATATCTGAACACATTTTCATTATGAAACAATGTCAGGTGATTCAGTTTTATTCAATATTCAACTTTATATCAAATGTTTGAAGTTTTATTTAAAGTTGGTTTCTTTAATCTTTTCACTGTACCACTTATGACAGTTGTAGAACTATCCTGTATTATATTATCAGGGAAAATATGACATTTTCAGTTAGAAATACCTTCCTTTGCCTAATGTAGAATGATGAGACTTGAACAATTTCCAAGTTGGAAGAGTTTGTACTGGTCCTTGTCATTTATATAAATGTTGCAAATTTTTTTCTCAGTAGGAGTTTTTCTTTTGACATTGTCATGGGATTTGTTTAAGAAAATTTAAAAACTTAGTACCTGTAAATTTTAACAACTCTGAGCATGAAATGGGTAACAGCTGAAAGGTTGATAACATTAAATGATCACTAGTGGCTCCTAGCTGCTTACACAATAAATGTACATATTTTTGGTGTTGAATGTTGTGACCAGCTAGCAATTTTACTGGAATCACATTTAGCAGTAAAATGTTAAAAGAATATAAGAAGAATCTTTCACACTACAGGCAGATCAAATTTTTTTAATGTGTGATAAAGCATAAAAAATTGTCTTTTGAAAAGGTTAATTTCTCTAATGGATCAAGATTCCGCTAAAATGTTGTTCCCAATTTTGAAGTCTTAAAATCCTTAAAACAACACTGATAAAAAAAAATTATTAATATTTTAAATTTATATCAATAACTTTGGAGAGTCTTTTTTGATTTAGACAGAAGAGACAAATAGCATAACTGACCCCTATATTCCATGTTAACAGCCCTCAACATTTATACTAACCATCACTATGGCAGGGCTTAGTCAAGTCCAGGTCCATGTAAGTGAGAATCAAACTGACTACATCAGCAAATGGTCTATTTAAATTTATTTATTATTATATAATTATAATTTATTTATTATTTATATTACATTGTTACTATCTTTTACTCTATAGTAGATGTCCCAAAGTTTGATTAGTCTGGAACAAGGCCACAATATCAGCAATAATATGCACAAGAAGATTGTTAACCTCTATGAGGCAAATATTCCTTAAGATATTTTACTGGATATTCCTGAACATAGCAATGAACAGAGAAACAAATGTTAATGAAGCACTGAGAGTTGTATCCCAATTCACTAACCAACTACAACACATCTGCTTTGCTTTTTAAAAATATAACTTGTTTAAGAAATTTCTCAATTTTCTTCTATTCTCAGTAATCTTTAATACTTAAACTAAGCAGTTGTTCAATTGAACACTACAAAGTATTTTCTCAGCTGTCCATTTTTTGACATTGATAAATCTATTAAAATGGTGGGCATCAGCTTTGTTAAATCTTGCAGGCAGTTTGAATTTTGTTAGTTGTTTTTAGAAAACATAATTTTGCATTTCTTCTATTCTATGCAGAAGAATCTATTGCATCAATGTTAAAGATTTTCCCAATTTAGTATCTATCTAAACTTATAACAATATATTGACTCTTATTTTTTAAAAATCAAGAAGCCAACAAAAATAATTTGGCTGATCTCTTTCAAATTTTGTTTTCAACAAAGATGATAGAGCTAGATTAGTTCTGATAGTTGTTAATCTTCTCTTCTAGGAATTTATTGATCTCATTCTCAGTCTGTTTTATTTGATAGTTAAAAAAAACATTGAAGATATACAGCATTAGACAAAGGAGATAAATCATTGTTTTGCATGCTTTGATTCAGCATCAAGTTTCATTTTTGCTTTTAGATTAAAAATTCATTAACAGTTATTTGGGAACTTAAATGCCTTAAATCTGAATAAATGTTAACAGAAAAGAAAAGGTGTTGGAAAAAAATCAAGGAAAATAAAATGGAAATTGCAAAAATGTAAACAATTAAGAGAAAAAGTTAAAAAAATAAAAATATGTTAACTCTGGACAAAAGTTTTGTTTTCAGCTAAACCAATCCAGAATTAAAAGTGATACTTCAACAGAGAATTCTCTTTGTGTAACTGCTCTCCTTTTTCTCACACTCTTTTTTAAGCTTCTTTTGCTAAGATTGTAGATATTATTTTGTCTCTTAAGTTCTTCTGAAGTTTACTTTCTGCTTTGTATTGCAAAGACAGTTCAGTCTTCAGCAGATTCTAAATTTCTAAATTTTCTTCTCTTCAATTGCGATTTTATGTTTTGGAAAAGTCAGAATTTACAAACCTGGGTGATGCGATGTTTTGCAAAAATAAAAAGAGACAAATTGCAACTTGAGATGGGACAAATAGTTCTTGAGATGTTCATAATAACTGGATTCTTTCTGAATGGATCTTATGTGTGCATGTATATACATTCTTTGTTTTTATATACACACTCATTCACACTGGCCAGTTGGTAGGTAAAAATGAATGTATGGAAAGGTAACCTACATTTTCAAAACTCTATTTTGTAGATTAATGAATCCTTGTTCCTTCCTTGTTTTCAGGCCAGCTATTCGTCGAATTGCAAGTGAGAACAAATTTCTGGAAATTCAGAAACAGCATCAAAATGAAGTGTTCTTTTTGTATATGGGACCAGAAATCAAAGAAGTAGAATTATTTGTAAGTATTTCCCTTGTATATTCACTTTAGATATAAAAATGAACTGAATGTTTTGATGAAAAACAGCAAAAATATGATGAAACAGGAAAAACTATTATTAAATTAATAATTTAATTTAATATTTACAACAAGCATAAATTATTATTTCAAGAAACAGTGGTTAATATCAAATTCTTGTAGCATTTTAACTATAAAATAACATCATATGAACTTGAAAAACTACAAGCATTTAAGTAATTGTAGGTGATTCAAATTTGTAGGATCTAAAAATAAATGATTTCAACTTACAGAAATTATTTTTGTCTTTTAAGTTTGTTTTTCTTTACTATTCATTTCTTTGTTAAAAGGTTAAAATAACAATTTCTTATATTTGCCTAGTATACTGATCACCTTTATAAATTAACTCTTAGTTGTTGGGGTGATTCTTATATTCTTAATTTCAATAACGAACAATAATTACAAGATTGAAAGTTAGAGGATAAGAATGAGCCAAATTAAAGTAAATTGTCTCCCTTTAGGTATATACAGGGTGCGGCAGAAATACCTCCCACATTATGGTAAGACATTAGCTACATGAAGACACCATTGCCACTAATGCCTTACCATTATGTGGGAGGTATTTCTGTCGCACACTGTATTATTATTATTATTATC